CATCATTTCTTCTTTTTCATTTCAGACTCTAGGTCCACACTGTAAAAGACAGAACAGGAAACACAGACAGACATCTAAAAATAAGCCCCACTAACAAAATAAGTGTGCTGTGTCATTTTGATGACTGCCCGAACGATATACAGTATATATATATTTTGCTATTTATTCTTTCTCCAAAAAATCATGTTGGAACCGTCCATCTCCTCCTCCGCCATGTTGTCTTTTGTGTTCTTTCCAGCCACTGTACCGAGAGAATCTGCTGGCTCTAGCGCAGCAAAGGGGAAAATTTATACATGACAAATGTTTACAGGTAGCACTATATATTACTTTGCGTGCAATGTCACTATCATACATCAAGATTCACGATTCAACAATGTATTTGCCATTTTCAGTAAAACCACATTGGAAAAACTGTGCAAGACTAGCCCAGTGTGCACCAGTTTCACATTGTAAGCTGAAATACAGAAGTAAATGACTTTTGAACCATATTCTAGTTTTAAAGAATTGCTATATTAATATTGAACGCCATAACTGTATGTTTTCAATATACTGTACAGCCTTCTTAACCTTAGATTTACCCAGATTTCGGACATTTCACTAATTCTCTTAATCTTCTTCAAGTCCACGTCTGGTCATATCTGCCCTTCCCTTGTTCTTCACAGAGCTTGTCTTCCTCCTGTCTTTCTCCTTAAAGGGGGATAGACTGAGTGGTGGAGATTATAAAAAGGCTGCACAATCCTTTTAGTGTGTGATGTGTTCTGCATGTGCATCAACAGGATTACAGTGTCAGAACAATGTCCATGAACTGATGAGGAGCGATCACGTTTTCCACAGAGAGTAGAGGCGTGCAGACACAGGTGGGATATGTATAAACTTCTGTCACTTCACGAAGAGGCTGGATGAAGTTTCTCTCGTATATCTGTCTTTCTCACCACTGAGCTGCTATTTCGAAATACCATAAGGAAAGAATGCTATTTTTATGATGTGTTGTTTTAAAACCTTTTACAACGGAAAGTTTGAGTCATCTAACCTATACAAGCACATCAGACTTTACTAAGTTTTGTCGGCGATGTTCTACAATGCAATTTATTTAACTTAAAGGAATCAGATTGTAATTATCTGCAGAGAGTTACCTTGCAGGAGGATCTGTCAGACTGTTAGTGTTTAAAAAGGACTGTGGAGATGATCCAGGACACTCTGATATTCTACTACATTTATGGACATTTATCAACATTTATGGACCACAGGTGTTGTCCCTGTGGACCAACACCTTTGTGTTCTATATTTGGTGTTAGAACTGTTTGATTATCTGATCTGTGTTTGACACACAGTGTCAATGTGTGTCGTCTGAGATGACGACTGTGGTGATTTAGGGCTGTACAAGAACACATTGAATTGAATTGCCCACCAAATGTTGAAAGGTATTTTATATTATTTGTTTTAAATATAATGAATAGAATAAAAAAAACACAAAACAATAACTGTAATATAATCCATGTAACTGTTCCTAACTCTCAAACAGTTTGGTTTGGTGCATGTTCTGACAAGCAGTATTTTTGGCCTCGTCACATCTTTAGATAAAAGCCAATCAGCTCTCAGTGTGTAAATCATAACATGATTTCTATTCAAATAAAGACAGCATGCTTTGATCTGATATGACTCTTTCTGTTAGGAAACAAAATACATGTATTATGAATACATAATACATGTAGAAAGTATGCCCTAGCTTTAATTAGAATAATAATAACATCCTGCTGAACATCAACTGATGCATTTTGCCATTCTATTGATGATACCAATTAGCAGGGGCAATTTTGGACTTGCAGCGTCAGGAGTGCTTAGCACCTTTGGGGGAGGGGGGGAGGGGTTATACAAATATGCATATATATGACACAATTATTTCCATCACTCACACAACTCATGCTTAGACAAACATTCATAGCATATTTTTGTGACAAAGATACTGTTTGTATTGTTAGTATGTTACCTGCTGATATCCCTCACTCTGGAAGAGTGAGATCATTATTCTCTCTCTTCTCCTTCCCTGTTTACTGAAATACATACAGGTGTATGTGATAAATCCAGCATTACTGGGATCAAACTAAAGGCTGTGGTTTACACATGCTCTGATGTCGACCTCCATAACAGTGTCTTACCTGATGTTGAATATCACTAGGCAACATACTGTGTTTCATCAGGACACATATGTTTTCACTTAACTCATTTACTGTTTATTTCATTTTTCCTATAGATTACACAAACCTGACTGGGTTAGCAACGCATCACTGTTCAGAGAAAGTTGGTGGAAAAGAGAGAAGAGAATGATGCATGTTTGCGTTCTCAAGCATGTGCAAAGAGGGTGGTCTAACTTCAGTGGAGCATACTATAACAACAACAACAGTTTACATATTAGATATGATTCACGTCTGAACGTTGTTTAAAAATACCTCTAGTTTTTTTGCCTATAATTTTATGGGTGCTTGACATTTTTAGGGGTGCTTGAGCACCAACGTCGCCCCTGCCAATTAGTACAGGACTCACCATTTAAAAGTTGCCTTCTAGTTCTCTTGGGCATTCTTTATTTCAAAGACAAGTGAAGTAGAAAGCGATTTTTTGCTCTCTTTGATGTCTGTATTTTAGGTATGCAGTTGTGACATGAATGGAGGGCTTGTTTAAATCCAGTTAAATATGGGGGCCAAGCAATAAGCCAGGTTGGTTTATGCTGTGTTGAATCACTGGTGGCCAATTTCCTAGCATAAACAAACGTTATAATGTTTGAATATTTATTTGAATGTAAACGCCCACCATGCAGCCGCCGAACAAAGAAATATTTTAAAACAGGAATGAAAAGGCATGCAATTTTGATCAACAACCAACACAACCTGGAGCTCAGCCTCAGTGTGAGAGCCCTTTTGTGTGGAGTTAATTGGCGTCGCTCACACAGATAGATTTATAGCCGGGCCCGGTGTGTAAAAAATCACTTTGCCTTGGGACTTTTGGTCTAATGATTTCTATGCAGAACGATGTGATTTAAATGCCTGAGCTTTGGGAAGGCACGAGTTAATTTTTGTTTCCGATGAAATATCTACTTTTAACAAATCTCATGTGGCGTTGTCTGCAAGTAGTATGTGCATGCTGTGATTTGTAGGTACATGCAGGTGAGACAGTCCTATATTGGATTTGCTTGGTTAGTAGTTGAAATAATGTTATTGAGTTTGTTATATAGGGCCCACTAGACTTCATATGGAAGCACATGAAGTGTGTGTGTGTCAATCAAACCCCCATAAGAGCTGAATGGGCTGTTTTTCACCGAGGAGACTACAGCTTTGGTTCTCTGCTGGCTCCTGATTCTGTGAGGGCAGAAGGGATGAGGGGAGGGAGATGGGTAGAAGTGCAAAGGTAGTGAGAGGTCACCAGATGGATTGTGGGAAGAGTCAAGGATTCCATATCTGCTGGGATTAGCCTATTGCTGTATTTTTAAGGTGAGCAGAGGGTATTTACTATGTTTATTCCTGAGTTCGAGCCCTGGGATGCTTTATCCATGCATGATGTTGGTGTCTATACTGGTGCAGAGACAGATCTGGCCTCAGGACAGTTTAATAGTAGACCGGTTTATGCACAGTTCTTGTCTTGGAGAAGTTTAATATTGTAACCAGTCATAGCATGTGATATCTTTATAAATGTTTGAAGTCATTTTTTTTGAAACATAGTATTCTTAAAGAGTATTTATTTATTATTATTTATACAATTTCCTCATATTACTTATTTGTATTATGAGATTCATTGTCCGGAATGACAATGAATCAAAATAACTTAAGACTTCTTGGTTACCTTTCTTACATTAGTCTCTGTTCGACTGTTCTAAAGTAATTAATGGTCTTTGTTTCAAATATATAGATATTTTTGTTTCCTCTCCTGTGCTCAGTCATAAGTGCCTTTTTACCCGACAGATTGGCACAGCGCAAATTATACTGCAGCATTCTAATAGCAGTTGGAAGTGCGTTTCTGCACAGCTGGTGTCCTATTTGGCCAGTCTGGACTATAATTGATATTTAAGCATCAGTACATTGCATTATTTTAATGCTGATTTTGGGGACATTTAAATTATAGTATTGCTAAAGTAATGACTTCCCAGATGTGCTGTGTTCAAATACTCTTGCGGCTCTAAAGAGCAAAATGAGTTTCCGGTCCTTATCAAAGTCTGAAGCATAATGGGGTCAAAACAAACAACTCAAATGTGCACTGGGAGAGTTCATACCCCACTAACACCACTGCAAATTGTAATGGGGACAACCTAAACAGTACTTGTAAGCGAAATGTGAACGCTATAATTTAAAACACAAAAAAGTATTGCACACTCAAAATACATGTTATTGCCATATGAACCAACGGACTCTGAGGAGAAAATTAGAAATCGACCACCTGCTGGTTCCCTGAGTCCTGTTTCACCATGGGGGATAGAATTTGATAACAGCTATAATACGGAACAGTCTTCCTGCAAATGTGGGACAGGTTTCCTATCTGAGAACGTTCAAATCCAGGTTGAAGACAGTTCTGTGAAGTTGCATACAACTGAAGGACAATATCTACACTCGGTCTACTCACAGTGGGACGTTAATGTTTCCTTTGTCACTTTACGTTGCCTTTTATGAACTGTGCTATACGAATAAACTTGTCTTGCCTTAAATGTAGAAAAAGGGAAAATTTAATGTGCAGTTAGTTTGCTGTGAGTTATGGTTACTTTTATGTAATTGTCACAAATATCTGTAGCAGGAGTGGAGGTGGAGTACATTGTGGATACTCAGTGATTTAGGCAAGAACAAGTCATATTTAGTGAAAGGTAAAAACCATAAAATGTTCCTTGTATGACCCTGCCCTTGGTCACATCTTGTACTAATGCATATCTCTGCACCATTGTTTTATTATTGTGTTTAAGCCTTAACATGATGTTCCCCTTTCAAAAACCATTCATGTCTTCACGGAGGCTTATTGGAGCGGGGATGTGGTGCAGCTCTTTTATGCCTCAGCTCTGGCTCCGGAGGACTAACGAGTCAGACACTGTCAGATCCAGGATAGCAGGGGCCACGGGCGGCTGCTTTGAAGTGGGCTGTGAGATTCTCATCTACAGGGATCAGATGAAGGCACAAAGGAGGAGAGCAAGAGGTGCAAAGCTCTGGCTAAACAAGCGTGTATGGACCAGGCCTGGGTTACACAGTCCGAGCTGAGTGGAGAAAGACAGAGACAAAAAAGTTCTATTGTAAATATGATGTATCGCCCAGTATCAGAACAACTGATCACAAAGAGAGCGCCACAGAATCTGGGGGACTAGTCCGGAGTTCAGCGGTGTCGGGTACCATCAATGCGCCCATGAAGCAGGTGGAGAGACAATGGGTGAATACTAGTGATGTCAGTTAAATTCATTAATAATGGCAACGCAAACCCATTTTACCGTATTTTTTTCTTTTTTATTGTGCGATTTTGTAACGTCTATGGAGAAGTGTAGAGGACAGTGCATATCAGCAGCAGTCAGATGTATGGGTTTAATACAATGTTTTTTCCAATGTATTGTTTTTTCATTGGGTTTTATTTTAAATATATTGCTGTTTTGTAATAGTCACAGATCTTTTGACTAAATATTTTTCCTTACCGTATGTTTTATTATTTCATTTCCTGTGTATTTGTTTGTTATAGCGCTTCTTGGTCACTCAAAGACGGTTGTTCAAGTGCATTTAAAAACATTTGTGGAGATATGAATACGATGCATTGATAATTATACAGAGATGAATTATTCAATGAAACTTAAATAGTAAAATGTTTTAGGCCAATCAAAGCGCACTGACACTAGAATAATGCCGACTTTTAATGGCAAGCAGTTGGAAGGTAATTGCTGGTAGTTGTCCTTCACATGCCCACATCAGGAAACTTGGCAGGCTGTTCACGTTGTGTTAATCAGGCAACATAAAAAAAAGAAGCCCACTAAATTCATTAATTAATCTCTTTTTATTCCTCACAGCTCAAACTAGTTTTAAATTATTCCGGCACTGAGCTGCAGGGTAAATTGGTACTCCAGGCATGTGAAATAAACATTGGGAGGTTTATCTATTGATGCAAGACATAAGCAGGGAATGAAATGTAATTGATTTTGTATGTTGGAGAAAAACGAGTGCAAAAGAAAAGTGCAGCAAAGCAAATACTTATCATGGTTTTTGGTTTTGGCAATGAAATATTTACATAGTGCACACATTTTTTTTGTTTTTTGAGTCAAGCATGTATAATTCCTTGTTGCCGCGTAATACCTAGTTAGACCTTTTGCTTACTCTGCTTATTATTCAGAGCTGGAGTAAGCAACATTTCGGGTGAGGTTGCTGAAAAAATGCATGTCTAACTCTATAATTTCCCTTTGCAAAGTGTCATGGGTGTTGAAGCGCTTTCTTTCACAGCCAATTATAGTATGTGTTGAAATTCCGTCAGTGCTCTGTTCAAGATGTAGTTTTTGCAATGCGCCTTGCTTTGATTGGCTGCTGACAGTTACTGCACATATACAGCTCAAACAAGTTGTTTTCTGTTGAAATCTCTCAAAGCGTTCTTGGAAAATGTTTGATTTTAAGATACAAACATAAGTTTCAATGACTTACAATACAATCTAAACTTAAAAATAATCAATCATCCACCTATATCTGATATAATCACATTATTGCCGTCACAACACAACCTTTTGGTAACAATTTGATAATCAGTTTCTTGATTACAGCACCATATTTTCTTGATGAAATAGTTTTCATTCTAAACATCCCCCAAATATAACACCAGATGTGTAATCGGATTGCTATTGGAATTTATTAGATCAGAATCTAGATCAATCAACACTCCCCGCTCACTGTACGCGCCTGACGTACTTTAGCCTCTTCCTGTCTGTAACTCCATCCATGTTTTTCTGTCCTACAGGGAATTCCTTTTGTCATGTGACATAGCGGAGCCGGTGTTGTAGGATGTATACTATAGTGATGGGGGGTTGGGGGTGGTCTTCTTGGGACAGCTGCTTCTCATCAGCTTTCAGTGGAGCGGAGTGAGGCTGGTCGCGGCTCTGTTCCGTGGATCAGAAGGCGCATTGGGGAGGGGGTTCAGAGAGATGTGTGGGGGCCCAAATGCGTCCAATTAGAAGGTCATCTCAATTTGTTCTCCCATATCCGCGGAGCTCTTCGGGAATCCAGGGCCCCGTTTTAGTTCCATGTTACATACAAATCCTTACTCCGGGAGGTGAACGAGTTTCTGCCATCTGGGAGTCATTACGCCTTTTCCTCCATTGTTTCCTGTCTTTTCACCCCAGTCCAGCTTCACCGAGTTCTAGCTTTAGCTCTTTGTTGGCGCCGGCTCCATTGGCTTGGCTTGTTCAGGTTCAAAACCCCCCCCAATGCCTCTATCCCGGGTTCCCGTCTGTGTAATTTAAAACTGGGAACGCTTAGCGGCAGTCACTCATGCACGGGGCGTCCGCATTAGCACATGTTGTTCACCTCATCAGCAACAGGAATGTTCGGCAAAAGATGTTTTGATTCATCATGCATCCATTTCCACCACATTGCCCTATTTGCAAAACATATCTCCTTGGCTGTAATCATGCAAATAATAGTTGGGAATCATTTGAAGCAATTTCATGACACGTTTTACTTTTTCAAACCCATTCCACTTCAGGGGAATTCTCTGGAGCTGCTTGCATCTTGAGGCTTTACGGAGGAGACAGGAAGGAGCTAGCTTGTGGCCACCACAATTCACTTTCTTTTTTTCAGATTTGGTGGATTGGATGTGAGTTTGCATAGTCTTAGTTTAAGATTTTTTTCTCTTTTGGAGAAATGATAGATTGCAGCGGTCTATCTGCAAAAATCTTTTTTTACTGAAACGCTGCAGAAATCTGTCCCCTTTCTTTGTTACTGTCATACATAAAGACATTTTCTCTTTTGTGGGCTTATCATAAAAAAAAAAAAACCCAAAAACGTATTGTGTTTGAGGAAGGTTTTCAGTAAAATACCAAAGGAGAAATATCATGCTGCAACCCTTTATTATGTTGTCGTCAAATTGAAGTCAGAAGGTTGTGTTTTCATTGACAAGTACACAATATCCTGCTGTTAGAGTGGGTAAAGTAGTGGTCTCGCATTCACTATTGCTAGATGATTGACAATACAAATGCTCTTTTTTGAAAAACCTCGTACAGAGTGTTCCAAGGGAAAAAAAGGAACCTTAAAATTATCCATATCTGTAAATGGTGGTTATCTGCACACTCATAACCACATAGCAGCCTGATTGTGACTCTTATTCTCTTCTGTGTATTGCAGTTCTTAGAGACGACTTCAGACAGAACCCAGTGGATGTGATGGTTGCTGTGGGAGAACCTGCCGTGCTGGAGTGTCAGCCCCCCCGCGGACACCCCGAACCCACCATCTCATGGAAGAAAGACGGCTCCAGTCTGGACGACAGGGACGAACGCATCACGGTACACTCTTGATTTTGAGGCTATTTTTCATCAGCAGTCCTTGGATAGGTGTACTCAGTCACCCTAAGGACAATAACATTAAATACTCACGTAATAATAAAATGTAGATATACACAGAATATAGGGGAGAGCAAGAAAAAACACATATCACACAACAAAAACACAGTTCACATACAACAAGAGATATTTACAAATCAGAAAAAGCATAGATGGACAGTAGCAGCGGTTAAGACATGGGGAAAGACCGAGACTAATGCTTACATGTCTGATGTGTTCTTTACCAGTTTGAACATACTTCATACTGATTTGATGAACTTGGGGCAAACAAATATATGATCTGAATATTGTAGTTCTTTTAGATGTGATGATACTTTGTTTAACGGTAAAAGAGATGTTTGAGATCTGAAAAATGTATGTATTGCAGTTCCTGTAGTGTTGGCGAGTAAGTCATCTTTGAGTATATATACCACATTCCATGGAGGCAAAGCGTCACTATTTGGTATTTTTTCGATTCACTCCACACATGGTGATGACAGAAGCTGGCACAGACCATCACCATCCATTCCTATTGTACATGTGTTTAGTGTTAGTGGAAAAATGAGCACCCGGAGGAATTGTATGTAGACACAGGGAGAACATTCAACTTCACACAGGGCCTTTCGGTGTGGAGTTTGCATGTTCTTTCATCTGGCCCTGGGATCGAACCAAGGATTGTCTTGCAATGAAACACAAATTCGGGCCGCTGAACCACACAAAAAATCACAATTTACTAATCTTTATTTCAGATTTTGGGCAATATTTTAAAACAATATAACAAGAGAAAATACTATATACCTGTCCAGATCTACAGGTGGTGGTAGAGTGTTTCTGTCCAGTGCTTTGTCAGAGCAGAGCTGCATGTATAATGGATTATTAATATTCATGATGGAAAATCAGATCAAATACAAAGTATGTATTATAGAGTACGTTTTAAGCAGCCGAAGCATACCAGAGTGATGAAATTCATTAAAAATACAACATATTATGTAAATATAATACAGGCAGGACTTAGTAAAACAAGCAAAGACCTCAAGTCATTGTTTTGACTCCTGCTCAAATTAAATTCTCCAAAACTTTTGACCCAATGAAGAGTGAGTTAAAATAGTTTAATCGCTGAAAAAAGGGAATCAGATATAGCATGATCTTATTACCTGAAGAAAGGATTAGCATTTCCAAAAGACAAGAATGTATTACTAATTCCAGACGAGTAATCTCTTTATCTTACGGAGAAATCGAGGTGTCTAAGTAAACAACATTATCATCTTTATCATCAAAAGCTCATTTAGATTTTCAATTATAGATAGAAAACATGACTCCAAAGGACAGTAAAGTAGTCTTTTTTTTTCTTGTCTGTACAACTGATGATAAAATACATAATAATAACACCGATATTACATGCGTGGCTCTCAGAAGATTATATATAAGGCTGTCACAAAGCGGGAGCCTCTATTGATTTTCCCTTTTGCAGTTTTGTGTACGTTCAACTGATTCCGGGCCCTCGAGGCATCCGATGTATTAGAGCAGTAAAAACACAAAACAGGTTAGCTTTCACTCCACTTCCTATGGCTGTACTTCCTATGCCCCCGCCAACTAGTAATTGAACGTGTGCGTATGTGGGTGTGTTGATTTGTTTATCTGAATGCGGTGGAGCAGTTTCAAAGCCCATCTTGGTGCACAGTGACAGGTAGAGTGCCTCTGGAGGGCTTTGATGGACAAAGCATCTATTTGTGATTTAAGAAGCAGTCTGGATCACAGCGGAGGGGTGGGGGTTGGGGGGCTCCTTGGAGATAGCGCATAAAGACTTTGGGCTTTGTACTTCCTATACATCCATGTTGTTGTCCTGTCCAATCACCTCCTTTTATATGGAAATACTGTATGAGAATTTCTTTGCTATTAGAGGCCGCAGCTCAAAGACTTGTGGAAGAAGGAGGAGTCCACCACACACTAATTTATGGCTGCTATATACTGCAACTACTCCCAGTATTTCCCCGTGCGCCCAAAGCCATTACTTATTAATAATCACGTGTATATGCTTACTTCAAGCTTTTAATTATGGGACGCTCCCTACACATCAGCCAAGTAAGATGTATTGATTTTAATTAAAAAGTGAAATCCTCATATGAAGCAAAAACAGGAGAGTTATTCATAATGCATTTTAGGCCCTTGAATAGATACACATGTGATAGGTGTCAAGAAGGCGAAGTGTATCGTGCAAACCTATACTGCTGCTCAAACAATAGTCCATTACATCCAGCAAAGAATGGAATATGAACTCATGTCTTAAGTTAAATCTGCTTTCAGTCAAAGTCTCCAACTTAGAATAATATACCTGCAGCAGGAGAACTTGGCAGGCGTCTCTGTTATGCCACATACAAAATGTCACATAATTTTCCCAGCACATAATTGTATGGATTTTAGAAGGTGTCATGTCTCGTCATATGGGAAAGGATTTAGAATGTCTCTTTTGTAGTGCAATAACATGTATTTAATATTATTTTTGTTAGCTTGTCGCTAGTCTTACCATACCACCTTACTCATTTCATTTCGTACTTAGCTCTGAGAAGGGGTTAACTCGTTTTGCAGATTGCAATGATTGGATCTGAGTTTACCGTGACGTATGTAATGAGCCCAACTGAGTGAGGCATTTAGCATTTAGCCTAGCATCTCCTTTGCCATTAATGGAGCCTGTGGGGAGTAGAGCCACAACATCTATGCCTGCAATCAAATTTGCTGAAAACAAAAAGGAAACATTCCTCTTGCTCCGGCTTCAATGTCTTGATATTTGGGAGACGAACCAGAATGAATGGAAGAGCTTCCTTTACATTCTCCACCATTGCCAAACTACAACCAAAACATTTTGCCGTAAACTCTTGACGTCTCCGACACCTACCTACAACACCCGCCTCCCCCGCTCGCTGAATGGTTGGAGGGGATTCAACTGAGCTAACAACGGCCACTACGATCAGACCCAGATGTACATGTAGGGAAAAAGTAATTGACCGGAGTTCGGCTAAAGCTACTCACTGCCGTAAAAAATCCTGCTGGCCCAGAATGGATAGGAGTACCATATTAACCCAAACTTAGCTTAAAGGCACAAACAGTTTTCAAAAAAGTATTAATATTGTGCCAATTTATTTAGCTTGATATTACAGTATAGCCATATTTAGTAATCGCAGTCATATCCACCAGAAGACTATAATTACTACAAAAGATCCTTCCATTTATCAGTGAGTAACACAGAGAAACTGATGAGAATTGCAAACTTTGTGTGTCCTAAATGTAACCGCAGATGCATTTTCAAGTGGTGGAATTGCTCCTAAAAATGATGGGCGGTCACCCAGTTTACTCTTTAATCAGCTGCAGCAAAGAAGGTATTTAGAGCAAATGTTGGAAGCCAATAGTACAGTTTGGAATAACATGGAGTCCACTGGGATTCTTGCTTGAGTTATTACACCGCCACAATGTTTCACATCGATTCATCAAGAGGCACTAATTACACGGTAGGTCTAGCAGCTGTGGCGTGTCCAAGGATGCCACAAAGAGCTGAATTTGTCCAGAATTCCACTTTTACATAATGATAATAATATACTTATAATGCATTGATTAGGGTACATTGTTTAGTTATTTACTGGATAGTCTAAAACCAGCAGAAACCACAGAAATTGTAGCCAAAAACAAGCACATGGACTATCTGTTGCACACACATTATAGACTACTTGGTGTATTTTGAATTGCATTGTCTAATATTCTAACTCAACCCCAACCAGGATTCCTGAAGGCGATGATCTGTGTTTATTACTTACCTGATGATATGCAACCATGAAATGCCACTTTATATTCCAATGTGCAATAACATCCATTATTCATATTTTGCCTGGTTTTAACCCATGCAAATACACTGACTTTGTTATGCTAAATTAAACATGTGTTGCATTATGGATTTCAAAATAAGGCTATATACGCATTTGTAACTCGTTGTCCTTGTGAGTAGTTTGTAGGATCTGGGCACATAGACCCTGATTTATAATAACAGGTTTCTGGTTTTATCTGTGCAGTAGAAACATCTGTTAATGATAGATTCTGTGTGTTGTTGTGGACAGAGCAGAGCAGGACTGGTGCTGCACAGCGTGATTCTCAATCCCCTGCTCCCGCTCACACTATAGGACGCACGGACCTCATGACCTGTGTGAAAAAGTCATTGAATATAGTACATCGTCCTCTGGATATTTTAGTTTGTGGAGGTGAACTTTGGCCTGTCACAAGAATCATTATAACCCCAGTCCAACGAGAATCATATATTCCGGGTCTCAATATTATTATAATCATATTTATTATCTGTAGATTTTCTTTGCAAAAGAAAAACAATGAGGTTTCAGCTCTAGATGCTTCAGTATGACCAAAAATGAGTTCATTCTGCTTTTAAATTTAATTATTTCTATAATGCATGCATCTTATATTAGTGGTTAGTTTTCTGACTTAATTATCTTCCATCCAAATGAGTTATATGGACAGGCCTAGCTTAACGACATGTTATCAGAAATATATTTTGTTCATACTTGTACACAGACCTAGTCAAGCTTGTTCCATATTCATGTTATTTCTTTGGCTGAAAAAAAGCAGCAGATTTAAATAGCACACCGGTGAAGTGAATATCCTCTCCATCGACATAATTCTTTGCTATTTCTAATAATAACAATGCTGTCGGCGAATCGACAATGTTTCAAACGACTGCTCTTCACTTCCAGCCATGCAAAAATAAAATGAATTGAATTGAACTATGTAAAGAGAAGTGCTAATGAATCCTCAGATTGGTAATGCACTTGTATACATCAATAGACAATTGAGTGTATTAAATAGATAACCATTCATTCGAGAGCCAGAAGATAGTATTATTTATAGCTATAAATTGGATTATCTGGCAATGCATTTTCACAATCATGTCAGGTCTAACCTGTAGACCTGACTTTTTACTATCATTTATCTATTTGTTTGTCTTGCTGCTGTGGTTTGCATAACTGAGAAAGTCATTTGAGTTGACTTCACAATTTTAAAGGCTTATGGTAAAGAGTTGTTTATATTTTTGCTCATAGATTCAATCATGTCTATGTGTATCATTGCAAAACTCGCATACAAGTGATGTCTGTAACTTCAATTGTATTTCATTTGAAAAAAAAAAATTGACCATAAAATGATGTTGTATCATCTATATTGTTCATAATAAATATGTTTAGAACAGTCCTTCCCCTTGAATAACCATCGGCAGTAAGATTTGATGGAGGAGAATAGTTAGACCAATGGTGAGGGGCCTCAAGCTGTCTATCAAAAACCTGTGGAGGCGGGTCCAACTGTTTGTAATCGAAAAACCTCTCTCCATCATCACATTTTGAAAAGTATCTGACCTTCACTTTAAAACCAAAAACAAAATATGGATATTTAATAGTATACCAACAAAAACTCATTAACTGTCAGTTCATTTCTTTACAAATGATTTTAATCTGTTATTCTCTTAAACGATTATGCATTAGCCTTGTGTGACTTGCATTGCTCATTTACAGTAGCCCATCGTCGTCTCTACTGTTGAGCCTTGAGTTTTTTGGAAAGCTGCGCGTCACTCCCATAACCCTGCATTCAAAGTGGTATGGAGACAGCTCATGTGCTCTGTGGGGGCGTGTGGTGGAAGGATATGAAAGGAATGAAAACAGCATGGAGTGCAATTTTCAGGCCCTACTTTGTTGTGTGAGAACGTGTGTGTGTTTGACAATGAGTGTGCGGCATACAGTGTAAGGCAAAAGTTTTCAGAAAGGCAAAGTATACTGTCAGAACAACTGAGGAGGGTCTCTACAAAGAGCCTCTGTGACTTTGTTCCCCGCACTAATGTAGCAGCAGATATGAATTATGTAATTTCATAACAGATGACCTTCTGTGCTGCTGTGTGAAAGGCAGGGCAATTTTTATACTTGAATAAAGGTATGCGCAAGACTATCTGCTGTTATGACACCAAGGATGATTGCATTATACAGTTGGAATATGCCAGAGTGTGAAGTCGGAGTGGACCAAAGAGAAACGCAGACGTGAAACCAAATTTGGACAAAAGGTCATTGGATCAGACAGAAGTATTTGTTGATATCTGTACTGTATTTCCACCTTAAACCAGGTACACGTGAAACTTGGAACATTATAATAGCTTTGTGAATAAAAGTTAAATTACTGTATTTCTGTATTTTGAATTATTTTACAATGTGAAACCAATGCATGATATTGACCAGGGAGGGGCCCTTTTGTGGAGGGTTGGCGCCATTTCCATGCGGTTTCCCTTGATTTTAATTTGACAAAACATATTAAGCTACCTCAATTATAAAATAATAGTAATAAGAATAATAATCTTTATTTGTATAGCACAAAAAAAACAATGTTTACAAAGCTCTGCACAGTCAGCATGATAATCAATGAAACAGTCATAATACAAAGTCAAAATGATTAGATACAATAGATACAGGAAGAGAAAGCAGACAAAGCAAACACAAAAAGAAAGACACAACAAAGACAAAGCAGACCGTAAAATACAAAATGGGAAGTTTAAAATAACAATTAAAAGCTGTTTGATAAAAGTGGGTTTTAAAAAGTGATTTAAAAGAGGACACATTATTGATAAAAACAAATACAAAGAAGAGAAGGAGACGGGGACATCAGTGTTTACTTTGTGTATGTATTGCGCAAACAAAACTATTATGTAGTTATAATATATTTACATATTATTTTTGGTGTTGCTTGGTTAAATAAAATGTTTTTGCTGCTTCACCTGTAAAATGCATGCACGTTTTTATTCTTTAATTATCTGCTGTGTCTCTTCTTAAATTATTTCACCTCAATAAACTGAGACACAAAATGATGACGGACTTATACATTTGGTGTGTTTTTTGCTCCAGATTCGCAGTGGGAAGCTCATGATCACCAACACCAGGAAGAGTGACGCAGGAAAATATGTGTGCGTGGGGACCAACATGGTGGGAGAGCGGGAGAGCGAGATCGCTGTACTGACTGTTTTAGGTAAAATATGTATAATGTGTGGTTTGGATCATACTTTGTGTGGTTTCTTTTCCCTCAGAGTTCAAGAAGGATTCGCCTACAACAGTGCTCTCGAGAGAAATCCATAGTAGGCTGACTGCCATTGTAGAGACTGACAAAGACATGCACAACTCTTTAGGGTCTTTTGAAATAGCTTATTGGAAGATTAAAGCTGGAGTACCTCACTTTTTTGTTTCATATTATATTTTGTTTGTCCCAACAGAATTAGTCTTGTTCAAGAAACGTTTTGTGAACAAATCCTATTACAATGTGCTGACAGAAAACTGATCTAATGATAATGATCTGCTTCGGGCCAAAAATACATGCATGTGAAAAGAAGTGATAGAACCAAGGGAACTAGCTACATGAATTTTATCACAGAACTTTTTTTTTGTGGTTTGAAAATGTGGTACTCCGGCTTTATTGTATGATAGGAGTAAGCAATATGTAGGAATGTATGCAGACATTGGATACTATATATACGCTACACGCATTTCTAAGCATCTACAAGTCTTTGTCATCACTGCAGCCATGTATGCACTGCTCTGCTTTCTAATCCACTCAGCTTTCCCTGAAGAATAGACAGCTATTATTAATATCATGTCATCAGATGACCTTGCATGGAGATTGAGTTTGCATTATAATGGCTCCAAAAGCCATTCAAGGCTTATTTGTGGATGCAGATACATGCTACATGTGCATAATGCATGACTGCAGTGGAAATGGATCCTATATCACTATGTCAAACTTCAGTACTTCAGTCATGAAATTGCTTTAATTGCTCTGACTTTAAAATTCTTATAATGCTTTCCTTGTTCTGTCCCACTCAGAGAGGCCGACATTTGTGAAGCGTCCCAACAATGTGGTGGTTCTAGCGTACGAGAGTGTGGAGTTTCAGTGTGTGGTTCAAGGAGACCCCGTTCCCACTGTCCGCTGGAGGAAAGATGATTCTGACTTGCCTAAGGGCAGGTAATGCACAAAGGCCGTCACTGCACCAACTCATTTACCATGCAAGCCAGCGTTTGAACTTGTGCTTTCATCTCCCCACGCACTTTGTCTGCGGCGTCTCCACAGATTTGAAATCCAAGAGGACCATACCTTGATTGTTCGCCAAGTGACCTCTGTGGACGAGGGCTCCTATACGTGCGTGGTGGAGAACATGGTGGGCAAGTCAGAAGCATCGGCCACGCTCACCGTCCACGGTCAGTATCATCATCGGCTCTTCAGATGTTCCATGTTTACTCATTGCATTTCACAGAGCTTTAGCACGGGCATTCAGCTTTCACAGAAGCTCTAAATAGACCCGAGTGCCTTGAGTTTGACCTGTCCACTTCTAAGTCAGGTTACATCATTAATTCAAAAGTAAATAGATCAAGCGTATTGAGTTGAAGCATATTGAATTACGTGATTGATTATCACGGTTATTGTTTAAAAAAAAAAACTTCTAGGATACATTTCAATTCCTTCTTACTTCATACACTTCATTACAATATAGTCTCAAGCAGCAAAAACAAGGCATCGGCAATTCTACTAAACAATCGCAGCTTAGTTTTTACAGTGACATTTTTACAGTAATGGCGTATCAACTGAGCAAAGCATGCAAGATAAATGTTTTCTCCAGCGCATAAAATGGATTCATTTGGTTAAAGCGTCCTGCCACAGTTTTGTCCTCAAGTTCTTAAATCATTTGCAGGAAATGTGTGGTGCGACGTTTCTCATCCTCCCACTGTGTAAACACATATAGAGGGACGGAGTGGGTGACACCGGCTGAGGACAGTAGGACTTAATTAAAGATAAGGGCAGGTCTGGTGCATGCTGGGAAATGACATGGTTCCAATTACGCTGTCTCCTCCTGCATTCACAAAAACAACACAGTGGGAGCGAGGGAGCGTGGCTAATTTGGGCAATAAATGGGAAACATGAATTACTCGCAGAAGAGGCGCAATTGTCACAGAGAGGGAAAAGCTATTTGCATGATATCGTCAACAAAATGACTTGAACTCAAAAATGACAAAACAAGTGAAATTACCATAATCTAAAGCTGGGGTTCCTAAATGTAAACTACACAAATGGAACTATGTATTACTGTGTATCTACCTGTGACTAGTTTGCTTCTATCACTAGTTTTCACATGCTTGCATTTTTGGCATCAGTCTCATCTTTAGATCAGCTTTTTCAGACAGACCCCTGTAATCAATCAGCTTTCAACCCAAAGAGTCAAAAAGTGACTTACATGGGTCTTTCTTAGTATGCAAAGTCATGTCATGTGATTTTTTTCCCCGTTATTATTCCATTTCTGGGTTGGGGTGGTGGCAATCAGAGGTCCGACCCAATGCTCAAAGCACCAGTCCATCGGGGCTTCAGGCAAAGTGGGGTTAAGTGTCTTGCCGTGGACACAACAACAGCTGATATCAGTGGGAGCAGATGACATGGGTCGTGGGGGGATCGAACCCATGACCATTAGGTCCTAAGACGGTCATGGGTCTACCAACTGAACTGAGCCGCTGTCGCCCCCAGAATGCAAAGTATACAACATGTTAGATTAGGTTTATTGTGCTGTCAGACTTCACAAAATCTTACTTTCACAAAGAATCTTTCTGTTGGGACAAACCACAATTATATCTAAAGAATCAAGTGATGTACTCCAGCTTTAATACACTATTCATGTGAGCGATGGCACGTTGAAAATGCATTATTCTCCATATTCTACATTCTACATAGTATACTTCCTTTGAAATTCTTAGAACAGACTACTGCATAACACCACTATAGTGAATACAAATACAACTGCTGAGGTTTACTGTGGCGCTAATAATCTACCAGGAAATACATTTGATCTTATCCCTGCAACCAGGACAACATACTTTTGAGACAGTTTTCTTGAAAAAAACCAAAACAAGACATGCACTTGGCCTTATTACTTGCAGCTTGCATCAAGTTACATTCGCTATGTGCCATTTTCAAATAGTTGTGACCGCAAAGTCATTATCACCGACACAGAACATTTGGTTGGTATTAGACATTTGCCATTTTAAACAGTTGTAACAAGCCAAAACTGCTTATGCGCTTCACCCTGGCTCTTAGAGTGGACTGTAATGAGTGTTCGGTGTTGCACTTCTACTGAGCCATATAGGCAGCATGTAATCTTGTGTGATACACTTGGAGTAACATTCTTCAAACACAAAAATGCCACAGTAATCGCTCTTGCAGTGGCTCCAAAGCAAGCTGGTCGGATAGCTGTTCATTTCCTCATAAATCAAATTTACAGACGTCAGCACTCGCACTGAACACCGAGTTTCCCTCTTATAAAACGTCTCAGCAGAATAGGCCTCTGTAAGGTTCGGAGCGTCATTATTCATGCACCCGCTTTTCTGTTTGTCTTCTCTTTTTTAGTAAACATTGGTAAGTTGTCATCCATCCTTCATCACCATCTGAGGAACTGCTGTGTCTGTCCCATCTGCACTTAGTCCATCAGCCTAAACAGTGATTGTGATAATGCATGAAAGAAAAAGGTCTGCCGGGACTAAGGTAACTACTGCACACATGATGTTTATAAAGTTGTGATACACCCCCAGTGCCAGTACACCCCAGCTTAGGGTAAAAAAAGTAAATGATTTAACCCTTTAATTGTTTCCGCAACTCTTTGGTAGATTACTTTTTGAGTCAATGTATTGACTTGAAGCATGGTTGGAACTGAAATCTACCTCTTTGGGGCATCTTATTTGGTTTTAGGCGCTTTTACCGTCAAACTGCACCTGAACTATTGGGTAAAGGCTTATAATAAAAATAAAAAAACTATAGAAAACAAAAACAAACCTAAATTAAAAAGAAATTATGTATTATTAGTGATCCTACATCTTAGAAATTACAAAAAAAAAGAAAAACAATCACATTGTTTTCTTCAAGGAGTGAACATTAAAGGGTTAATGACAAAGTAAAGTCATTGTACTTGAACTTATTGTCAAATTTAAATTACTTTTACGGAATATTTGAGATTAGATCTTTCTTTGAGCTACCTATTTCTAAACAATATCAACATTTACTTTAAAATGTACTTTTATAAATATAAAAATGTTTATCTGCCCTCATTATCTTTAATTAATGCCATATATTGTTGTTATAATAATAATAATACAAAGAATAAACAAGCCCCCACTGAAAGATCAAGGCTATGCTCACAGTCAGAGAGCAGCCGTCCTCCTGTGGACTCACCACCTGCAGAGGATCAGTGAGGGGCTGGTGCTATGAGACTTGGGTGGCATCTCTGATTGCCACCCCCCTGACCCAGAAATGGATTAAAGGGTAGAAAATGGATGGATAAACAATCGCTTACTAATACATAACTACTATAATACAAGGTAATGGATTAACTATTAGATTATGATGATGTTATTGTTTGATAAGAGAAAGAACAAGAAACATATTTTGTTAGCATGTTTCCCAATATACAGTTAGTTTAGGGTGCAGGATTTGTACAGTTCTCATTGTTGCCAGATTGATTCCAGGCTTCAACAATTTGCTAAATGTCCTATCTGCTCTTCACTCCCCTTTCACCCTTTAAAGCGCTCATGAATACAGAATAGCAAAAGCCAGCGGGCTAATACTCAGGACTTCTAGTATTGATATCGGAACAGCCCAAGATAGCAGCTCACTGTGGTTCATTGATTCACTGAACCGTAAAATTAGCTGGTAATCTGTCAAGATTAAAGATCACATGGAAACACAAGGGGGAGACAGTGAATCCGAACAGTGATGGATTGCAGCTGAGCCCTGCATCTTCATTGTTCAACAGCTCATTTGATCATTGTCTCAAATTACATTGGTGTTATGGAGAGGAAATCTCACTGGGGACAAATTATGAATGGGTGAAACCAAAATCTGGTCGAGATTATGTTATCATGTGTAAACAGAAATTCAGTAATTGGTGGTGTAATTGTTTCAACCTGTACAGAGACAATAGTAAAGTGTATTTACAGTTTTTTAAAAGGCTAATGTACAGTGCATTATACCATTACAATCAGCATAAAAAGCACTATAGAGTTACAAAATAGTTCTGTTAAATATTCCATTCAAATGAACAGAAAATATTGTGATTTCTTTCTTGTCTATTGTGATGTGTGTGGTTTAGTTCAATTTTAGGTTCTATAGTTCATTTCTATAGCAACAAGGACATTAACATCATGAATAATCCCAGTACATTAGCGTGAGTGTGGCCACAGACCCTCAGTTGTATATATACACAGCTAAAAATAACTAATAATACTGTAGCTAATAACAATAGTTTCACCGGGATTTTAATTTTTCCAGAGTAGAAGCCTGTCTCACATTTTCACCAAGACTGTTGTAGATTTTAGGTATTGGATTTGAGCCAAAATGAATCCTACTGTAAATACTGTGTGTACCATTATGTACCATTTTCTCCAGTAAGTTTGAAGTAGCATTCTTGAGTCATCTGTGGTGCTCTTGAGTGCTGGAGTGAGAAACTGCTGCCCCCATATCCCCCCAAATACAAACCCTATAGTTTAGCAGCTCAAAAGATGATAATAACAAAGCTGCATTCAGGGATAAAAGTGTTTGTGCTTCCTCTTCTTCTAGTGCCCCCTGCGTTTGCGATCCGACCCAGGAACCAGGTGGTGGCAGTGGGCAGGACGGTGACCTTCCAATGCGAGGCCACAGGCAACCCGCAACCTGCAATCTTCTGGCAGAGGGAGGGCAGCGAGGTGACACCAACCGCTGCTTTGTCATTACAACAAACTATACCTCTCAGATTAAGCTAATGAATGGGCTTTTTTTTTTCTTTTTTAACCGGTGTCATCTCCTGTCTTTTCTAGAGTCTCTTGTTTTCGTACCAACCGCCCCAGCCCTTCAGCCGCCTGTCCGTTTCCCAGATGGGCAGTTTGACCATTTCCGATGTCCAGCGTTTGGACAGTGGCTACTACAGCTGCCAGGCTCTGAACATCGCTGGAAGTGTGATCACCAAAGCGCTGCTGGAGGTCACAGACAGTGAGTAAACAACATTTGGAGGCAAATATTTACCTCTCTTCTGTCTTAACCTGTTTATCTTTTGGGTAAACATGGTAGATTTTTTGTCCTTTTTTTCATTTTGACAGTGCGGGTCCATAAAGTGATGTGGGGCTTTTATTGCTATGGGTGGTGACCTTGTGGGAGGGGCCTGAGTTGAAGGGATGCATTTTGTTTACTGGCAGGACACAAACCACTCTGTTTCCATGACGATCCACTGAAAAGAGCGGCATTCTGAATGGTGTTGGATTCCGCCATTGTTCCAAAACTAATTCAGTCCTACAATTATGTTTTTCTAATTGTAGTCGAGGGATTAGTGGGGAAAAAAGGGGGAAAGGTTGATTATTTTGAGTTATTTGTATCGATAAATGTTAGCTACACAGATTATAACAAATGTCTATATCCACACAATTTGATTATAAGAAATTAAAAAAAAATCAATCAATCAATCAACTTTTATTTGTAGAAAACCTTTCCTACACAAGGCAACACAAAGCGCCTCACAACCCATATATATAGTACATTAAATGTACATTAAAAAACTAAAAAGTAAAACAAAATAAAAAAAATAAAACATTATTATCACACAGGATTAAAATCATAAATTCCACAGTGCATTAAAAGACTGAAGATAAAAATCCTTTAGTTTTAGATAAATGTTTTATGTTCTATGCAGGCACTTATGTAGTTATGCATTTTACTTTTTTCCATTTTCTCCCTCTGTATCTGATGCTGGACAGACCGCAATGCCACCACAGGTACAGCCAGACAACCTCGAAGCTTATAAAAATCAATGCCACGACTTTGAGCACTTAACATCAGGGATTTATCATTGTACCGCAGTCTAAATGTGGATATATTTTCGGTCCGTCCTTCAGATCCGCGTCCTTTTCCCTTCGTGCGAGATGGGAAAAGTCTGTCCAGTCACTTTGCAAGGATACCAATGTGCTGGTTCAGAAACTCAGCCGGGCAGCCGACAATGAGAGAGTACATGGTATCTGTCATCATTAAGGCCAGAGTTGTGCTGCCATAACCCAAAAGGCTGGTCCCAGAGGAGAATCAGGGAAAAGGCAGTTAAACCAATCCTAAAAATGGACATATAATACAATTGTGTTTACCACAAGTTGTGCTGTATTGGTTTTGGTGGAGAAAGTGCTGGTAATGAAAAAGTCAAAGTCTTCCAATTAACTGACCCGCAATCTTCCCCTTTTAATGATTTTACTGATTTATGTGAACCTATTATCTCTGGCTATGCTTACAACTAATGAACTTTAATACAGAATTTCTCTAAGGCATACTTAACTGACTGTCCTCCAGACTTTTCATGATGGAATAATTGCATCTACAGGTTGTCACAAAAAAAAATAGTTTAAAAATGGGCTCCAAGGCTCAGATTTGTAATTAAACATCACCAGTAAAGTCTTGCGGCTCCTCAACAATTTAATGACCTGTGTAATCTCCCATACACGTGTCGAGGTAACTTCCCACTGTACGTACACCAAATTGATGGTTATAATTGCTTTAGGCTTATGCAGATAGTTACTAGACACCGGGAGTTGCTTGGTGCAGTTCTATTAGCAATAATGGATAATCCGCTGCTTAAATTGGTGCTGCTAGCCCGGTGGGGAAATGACTGACATGGTCTCCATCTGATACAGGTAATGGAAAGAAAAAAGACCCCGGCTCTGTTGGATGTAATATTTTTCTCTGGTCTCTGCCACTTCACTTTCTCTGTTCCCTTCCCCCAAATTTTCAGTCGCACTCTGCCTGTTTGGAGTGCAGCATTTGTATGGAAATAACTGGTCTACATTACCAGAGGCACTTCCCCATCTAGCACGTCTATCATCCCTTTTTATTTTGCTATTTTTATTTATTTATCTTCATCCACCAGTTTTTTTTCTAAAGTGAGAAAAAGAGGCACGTTATCTAAGTGGGTTTGTTATTAGCCCGAGCGGGGCCATGGTGATTGGAGATGGTTCTAGCAGTGTCTACCGCCGAATGAACAATTAGTTGCTCTCTGCTGGAGGGGAAAAGTTGATTTCTTTTTCCACCACTGCCTCGGCAAGCTCTTTCCAAACCTATTGTTCCCCTTCCCCTCTCAAAATCTTTCACATCTTATCAGGCTTTCATCTTTTGACAGCTTTCCATGTTCAGTGTTTTCAAACTTCCATTTCCAATTTCAATAGTAAAGACTTTTTTGTTTCTAATAGAATTGATGATGTCACCTGGTGTACAGGTGCCTGCAATACACATCAAAGCCTCACTGAAGTACACTGCATATATTTTACAGTTATGTGCCAAACAGTGTTTTTTTTTTCCCATGTGAAGCCTTGCAAATTCATTTGTTTATGATTTGTATGTTCCAGGGGTCAGATCACAGTACAGTGTGCAAGAGCAAGTGACTATAATCCTATGTGTGTTATTTATTTTAGTTAGTTGAATCATAATGTGAATTTTCTGCATAATGTACTGCATGACTTAATTTTGTATGGATCTTGACTATATGTTGATGAATAATAGAACATAATGTCAGTTTGATGTTTGATCTGAGGCTGCCTTTGGTTGTCGGCACATTAGACCTTGAAGTACAGAGCACACAGCTGAGTAGACGCAACTACTGAAAAAATCTTATAGCGTTGATCATACTTCCATGCAATATTTTTTTTAAGTCGTATTCTGATTAACTATTTATGCGTGATACCTTCTTGCATTGCCTCAGTTTAATTGATTGTGTGAAAAGCTGAAACACTGTATTTTCATTTCAAAGTGATCTGAGTGTTTGGGCACAGGCTAAGTGTATGTTTGTGTGTGTAACAGCGGGTTCAGACCAGCCTCCTCCTGTAATAAAGCAAGGTCCACTGAACCAGACTGTGGCTGTGGACAGTACAGTGATGCTGCGGTGTCAGACCAGTGGAAGTCCTCCTCCCACAGTCCAGTGGAAGAGGGACGGGGCATCAGTGTCTCCGGTGGACTCACGCTTGACTCTAACTGAGTCAGGCTCTCTGGAGATTCGCTACGCAAAGGTACACAGCGAAGATATGAGTCTGTATGTATGATCTCTACTGAGTGTGGTGCCACCTGCCTGTGAAAACCTGATCCCGGCAAATAGTACTGTGAAGGGAGACCTCTGGGAACACCAGGCTGTAAAAGTGCTAAGCTGTTATTGTGTCCTTAGGCAAGACACTTTTCACACATAGTGAGAAGTGTCACAGATGTGGCCCCAGATGTGGCCCCAACATCAGTAGTTTACCACCACAGTGTATGGAGTGAATAGATAATGCCATGTGGAGAATCTACTGTAAGTACTATTCATGAAGTACTGTGTGTTTTCTTTGTAGCTTGGAGACACAGGCCTCTACACTTGTGTGGCAACCAGTCCCAGTGGAGAGGCTACCTGGACGGCTCATCTACAAGTGGAAGGTAGAGTTGTCAAATCAATGTTTTATTTGCATTTTGGCATAAGTGTAGTTTAACAACAATTAAAAGCTGCAGTTTCATATTAACTTTTCCTTAGTTTAGAAAAGGAAACATGCCCCGGTCCAAATTCCAAATCTGCGTTCCTCCACTTCAGGAAAATCAGTTTTAGTTTCAGTTTAGTTTCAGTTTAGTTTATTTGCCATTTGCAGTAAAAACACCACATTGGAATACATTAGCAAAAAGTCTCCAGTGTGCACAGACAAATACAGACATAAAACAACATGTCTATCTATTGAGTATCAACATACTCAATAAAACTCAAATACATTTTAGACACTAAAATGTACGGCATATTCACACTTGTTGGTTGTTAGGTATAGATAGTTTACATATTTTCTGTTACATACAGTTCTGTAATGCATTTTGCCTCAAGTGAATCCGACTTAGTCCAGTTAAAGTGAACCATGATGGTGAATACAGCCTTAATTTGTCATATGTTTCTTGATGCGTTTCTTTGATAGAATTTGGAGTCCCAGTTTACAGCAGCCCGCCCTCCGACCCCAGCCTTCTCCCCAGTGCTCCATCCAAACCCGAAGTGATCGACATCAGCCGCAACTCTGTGTCTCTCTCATGGAATTCCCCCGACTCTTCCTCTACAACCTACATTATTGAGGCCTTTAGGTTTGTCCCATTCACTGTTTTCAGCTGAATGATTCAAACCGAAAACAGAGATTCTCACTGTTCTGTTCTTCCCTGCAGCAACACCTTGGGCAGCAGATGGGTAACGGTGGCAGAGCATGTGAAGACACAGACCTATGTCTTAAAGAACCTGAAGCCTGGGGCCATCTACCTTTTCATGGTCCGAGCACTGAATAACTATGGCCTCAGTGATCCCAGTCCCATATCTGACTCAATAAGGACCCACGGTTTGTATGCACTCTAAAGAGCAGTGTATTTGCACCTTCTGACACTAGCTAAATGTGTTTATTTGTGTCTCTGGTCAGACGGCAGCTCCACCATCCTGGGAGTGGATCACCGGCACATCCAGAGGGAGCTGGGCGACGTGGTCATCCACCTACACGCTCCCACTGTGCTGTCCTCCTCCTCTGTCAGGCTGCAGTGGATGGTAGGAAGTCTTTCTTTCAGCACATTTCTTAATATAGTCTGGGTTAAAGCTGGGGTGCCTAATTTTAAAAACCACAAAAAGTGAACTAATAAACACGGTTTCAAAACAGTATTGTTCTATCACAAGTTTTTCATCACACTCTTAAATAGGGACACAGAGGGCATGCAAAAATCATATTATTTTATATTTAATAATGATATTAAGACATAATCACGTTGTAGCCAGATTTGCTCACACACTTTTTCAACATTCAACAACATTTTTGGAGGTTTATGGACATTAATCATCTGCCCCTTATGGACCAATGGCTCTATGTGTTTTCATCGTTGCATTTCTTGTGTTGAACTGTTGATTCTCTGATCTGTGTGGACGAATTCAGCGCTTTTGTTACGTCCTTCGAGATAACTGCTGTTGTGATTTAGGGCTAAACAAGAATTTGAATTGAATTAATAATACAAAATGTTTTATTTATAAATGTAAACGTATCAGTTTGTGTTGACGTATCTTTTGTACATTTCAAAACAGAAACCATCTACAAACTAGACAAAAATTAGAATCTGCGTTCCTCTAACATTTTTACTTTCAGATGAATGAAAAACAACCATTACAATCTTTCAAATTATTCGTTTCAGAATGTCGTTACATCCATTTTCCATTCTTCACTTATTTTCATTCAAGTCAAATTACATGTAAACAGGCTGCAGCATCACAGGTATTGAAATGAAAAATGTATAGGTGGCCTCCATTTATCATAGACGATTGCATTCAAAAGTCCACAGCGGCTGAACTAGGCTGGTTCAAAAAAAAGTCCTCTCCTCAGCATTGACAGGTATCTAGAACGTAGCCTTGAGCCAAGAGATGACTATTTGGACCAGGCTGTGCACCACCACCACAGGCAAGAGGTCAGATTACAAACTCAAGCTCTTTTACAAATTCACACTCTTTTTGTGAATGATACAAACTTTATTTCACTTCTCAAATACCACTGTGTGTAAGTCCTATAAGATGTTTTAAGCTGACGTTTCTCATCCAAACAAGCAATGATTTATTAAGGAACATCTTACCAATTAAATTTGAAACTAGAAAATCGCCCAAAATGTTGCAGACCACTGTCTTTCTACAATAATAATCCTATGATGCTACTCTAATATCAAGTTTTGTCCTTACACAGTGCATTAGATCGTCTTTGCCATACACCCTTCACTATCCCAGCACCCTTCTCTGCAGTAAACAGTGGGGGTCCGGACGAAACAAGGACACTAGCCTTTTGCAGCTTTGACTCAAACCCAGAGAGCTTTCAAAGTGACCCAGTGCGGTATATTTTCCATCTGGATGCTCCTGCGGCAGCCTTTGAACACATCTCTGGAAACATTTGTGAGCATGTGGTTCAAATGGACTTAATTTACAACAGAATGCTGCATCTTGGAAACTATTAATGATCTCATATTGTGGTTGAACATATATTTTAAAACACATGGAACAGCGTTAAGGGTGTAGGACGTGTGGTGCTAAGATTAAAGCTGGGGTGCCTAACTTTAATAATTAGTAAAACAATTGAGCTATGTAATAAAAGCCATCTGTAAATACCGGAGTTTCTCGCTTTCAGAAATGTTTCGTTCTAGCTTTAGATTTCACATGCATGTATTTTGGCCCCTGTCACATCTTTAAATCAGATTTCCCAGAGAGAAAAGAGAAAAAATAGAGTACCACGCTCAATCAACCAATCAGCTCTCACCCCAAAGTGTCAAAAAGAGCTGTTGCGGTCTGCTTTACATTGTTTTACTTTTACAAGGCTCATTCTGCTCTCATTCATTTTTTTGTGAAACCAAAAAAGTTGGGTACCCCAGCTTTAAAGGAGCAGTATGTAAAAATCCTCTCCCACTCACCCTGACTCGGGTTGCCAGATATACAGATGAATCCAGCTGAGATCATAATATTTGAATAGACCAGAGTTTTGTCAACAACAAATCTATAACAAACACCTTTTTCACAAAGATAGAAATCCTCTTTTCATTCCTTGTTTTGTCATTAATGATTTGAGAATCATAACGAGACCTTTTTGAGTCCTGCGGCCACTTGTTACTTTACCAGTGAGATTAGCTCGATGCTGTGAGTTCTGGCAACCCAGATCACAGACTTTCTGAATGATGAAACGGTGGAGGGTGGGACATAGAAATGAAAACAATAACAAGATTTAGGGGCTGTAAAACTAATTTTGAAAGTTGATTATCTTGGCTGAATTACTGTTATCATGCCTTTTGACAGATATAGGGCCATTTAATGATGACTTCACATGAAAATCTTACATATTGCTACTTTAAAGCTTGTATGAAATTCAGAATATAACATTAATGTTGAAATGTGCTTGTGTTTCATTAGGTGGAGCAGCCCTCTCTTTACATCCAGGGGTATAAGGTGCTGTATCGCCCGTCTGCAGACCACGGCCAGCCCGACAGTCAGTGGAGTGTCCTGGAGGTCAGGGCTCTGCAGGAGGACGGAGTGGTCATCGATCAGCTGAAAAAAGCCTCAATCTATGAATTTAAAGTGCGCCCTTTCTTTGACGAGTTTCAAGGAGCCGACAGTGATGTGAAAGTGGTCAAGACGTTACAAGAAGGTACGTCCATGTTTCTTACTGTCGCTTAACATGTGTGTATAGGTGGTGGAGTAAATGCTGTCTCAATCTTGTATTGGAAAATCTTCCCATAAAACTACCTCTGCAATTTTCCATTAACCTATGCACCTATGCAGTTTTCCATAACCAACTTTGTGTCAAAACTTTCCAATAACTTCCATTACCTACCTATGCAATTTTAACTCCACTTTGTTTTTGCATATTTGATGGTGCTTATTACCAATCCATTATCATCCATCCATTTCTTCTGCTTGTTAACGTTTTATTTTAATCTGAACATGTACATGCACCCAGACAATATACAGAAACAATGTATGTGGTATTCATGTATGTATTGTGGTATTAGTCACGTTATGGATAATGGTAATAAAGCAATCATTCCATATGTGTGCATGTTTAAAGTTTATTACTAGAATTGTTCTTTTAATTGCCAGTCTAAAATGTTCCCATAAAGAAGGCATACAGTGGCCAAACACATAGGCTTCTGTGCATGTTTTAGTAAAGGACTTTTATTTTAAGGTAACTGGTGCCTCTAACATACTATATTTTTTTTGACTACTCAATGCTCTTCTCACTTTTTAATATTTGTCATCTCTTTCTTTGAGACCCTTAGATACTTAGATACCCGAGTAATTGATGAGCACCAAACCTTTTTACATAATACAAATCTAATCTTTTTTTTGTTATCCCAAATGCACCTATTGTTTGACTTTATAATTTTGAATGACAAAGCTAAACAGTTCTGACTCATGTGTCTATTTTGTTGGCCCATATTGTATAACAGCTTTACATACTCGCGCAAAACAATAGCAGCTTTGTCATAAGGGACTGTTTCCATGGTTAAAGTGTATTCTCATTGTTTCAGCCCCAAGTCGAGCACCCCAGGGTGTTACTGTAACAAAGACTGATGCCAACGGGACCGCTATCCTTGTTGCCTGGAAACCGCCCCCACAACAGGAAGAAGCCGGACTCATTCAAGAATACAAGGTACAAACAGGCTCCTATGTTGTTCAGCCTTTGTGTTTGCAATGTGTCTAGGATTATTGCACGTTCCCCCGGGCTATGACTGTCATCTTCTCACTACTTTGACAGATTTGGTGCTTGGGTAATGAGAGCCGCTATCATGTGAACCAGTCAGTGGATGGATCAACTCACTCTGCACTTATTTCAAGTTTGGCCCCTGGAATCCGTTACAGTGTTGAAGTAGCAGCAAGCAATGGAGCAGGCCCTGGGGCCAAAAGCGATGTTACTTTCTTCCAACTTGGTACGGCTCTCCAGGAGGGGAAAAAGGCTGTAAAAGTGTAATATTTCACAACACATTATCATGTTTTTCATTCCTTTACTTTATTGCTTTGTGTGAATAATGGGAGCTGCTCAGTACAAAAGCAGTTATTCAAAAGCAAGAAAGATAGAAAAAAGTATGACTTTTTCATGTCTTTCCTGCACTTCTTCAGATTCGGCAGGCCAGATGATGGACATCACAGAGGCAAGGGACACGCTGTCTCAGATCTCTGACGTGGTGAGGCAGCCAGCCTTTATCGCTGGCATTGGCGCCACCTGCTGGCTCATCCTCATGATTTTCAGCGTGTGGCTTTACCGGCACCGGAAGAAGAGAAGTGGCCTCAGCAGCACATACACTGGCATCAGGAAAGGTTTGTGTGCTGCTTTCTGTATGTTGAGCAAGATTGATGCCCACATTCAAAGTAGAGTATCCAATCAGTCATACTAAATTAATCCCAGTATGGTTTGATTTCAGTAAAGGTCACATTTGTTGAAGCGCTGCCATATTTCACCTGTAAAAAACAGCAGATGACTTCTGAGTGATCTTAATGAATAGCCGTGATAGATAATAGCCAGGGCACATCAAAAAGAGTGAACACTAGCAGGCTTTAATCTTCCTTTGAAACACAGACTTCACACGTAAATGAGACACTTTGCATCAGGAAATATCCCACATTCAAAGAATGACCTTTAGCAGCTCATTTCCTCACAAACTAAACATGTCTCAGTTGCGAGGGCTTGTCAACCTGCCATTAGCTTATCTAGGACACCATCACTGGTATTTTCTGCATGTCCTGCGGTGTCTGTCATACGAATTAACCTTCACCTGCCCAGAGTGTCAGTGCCACATTCAACCACAAATGGCCTTTTCTATTTCAAAACCTAAAAAAATAAATAAAACCTTCAATAACATTGTTTCTATTTAGCATTAATACATTATGTGCAAATAGTTCTGCCAAAATAATTACTATATCAATTTATCCTTCTAACTGTAACTGATGAATGGAAAAAAAAATATTTAGTTAAATTCAAATTATTTTTGTATTGTGCTAAAAAAATAAAAAATAAAAAGTTGTCAGTTTGCCAACACAGCAAATGCAATAATAACAAACACAAAAGAGACACATAGGAGAAAAATGCTTTTTTCATTGCAACATTATGACATTAGAGATGCGAACCTCGTGTGGCTAATTAATTTAGTTGTACTTTATTTTTCAAAATGTTCTGATGTTTTGTCATCGCATCAGTAAAACAAAGTCGTTTAAATGATATAGTTATTATAATACATTATATCGTAATTTGTTATTGTGACATGTGTAACCCTGTTCTGCCGAAATCCTCATTAGTCCTAATTTATTTGTTTCACAGTGCCTTCATTCACGTTCACCCCTACAGGTATGTACTGCATGCATTTGTTTTTTTTTTTTTTACATAATATTGTTGCTTTTTATTGATATTATTGCCTTGATTTTTTAACTATGTGTAAAATGTATACACCTATAGTTTGTGTGCATGACAGGTGCAAACTTGACCATAAAATACTGTATACCATTACATGGGTATACAGTAAGGATTAGAGTATTTGCATGAATAGTCGGCGTGTGTACATTATATACTAGACAAATGGTTATCATAGAAGGCAAGGCAAGTTTATTTATATAGCACAATTCATACACAAAGCAATTCAAAGTGCTGAACAAAATAAGAAAGCATTAAAATCATAAACAATCACAGAACATTAAAAAGAAAGATACAAATATAAAATCCCACAGCTAAACAGAACTGTCTTTAAGGAGGCCTGTCTCACATCTTCAGGAAGACTGTTCCAGATTTTAGCAGCATGAATCTGAAAAGCATTTATTGCCTTTGACTGACTGAGGCACCATGAGGACACGTTAAATAGGTTATGTGGATTGTGTTGTCATGTGGATAAATATAGAACATGCTTCTGAACTCCTTCTGAAGTCTGTTGCTTTTTCTCCTTTCGGTAAATCAACATATTCCATCTAATTGTGTTGTGCTGCTTTTGGTAAATGCACTGACAATTATTTGTGTTGTCATATTTTACATTAAAGCTCTCATCCTTTAATACGGAAGGGAATGTGCAGTAGAGCTCGACTTTTAAGTTTCTCCTCACCATGTTCGCCTCTGCCCCGGGCTGTTCCCTCGTTTTGACAGCTCATCATGTCTGCATGCTTTTTTCTGCTTCACTTTGCAGTTGCCTATCAAAGGGGGGAGTCTGTGTGCAGCGCTGGCAGGTAAAAGATATTTTGGTCTCTTTGTTTTCTGATATGTATGTATTGCACTTACACCTGTCTACCACTGGGGGGAGATGTCTTTCCACTTGCTGACTTGTGTGTCTATACTACTGCCTTTTTACTGTTATTACCACATGTTTTCCTCATTGAAAGCCTTTTTTCATGAATTCTTAGTGCAGTGACTACTATTGCACTTCTTTTGAATCCCATTGTTTTATTATATCAAGCATAAATTAGTAGAATATATTTTTTCAATGTTTAAATTTGCATTTGACGGACAGCTTTGTCTTGCTTCATGAACTAGGCCTGGGCTCCTCGGCATGGGAGAGCCCCTCAACCATCTGTGGCTGCCTGAAAACTGGCCAAACGCCTGTGCCAATCACAAAGACTGTAGCATCAACTGCTGCAACAACGGAAACGGCACCAGTGACAGCAACATGACAACCTACAGCCGGCCAGGTCTGCTCGCACAATAGAAAACATCCCCCGCAATGAATCTAGTGAATGTCTCTTGTGAATGAACACTATTCTCTTTGTCTGGCAGCCGACTGCATTGCAAACTACGGCAACCATCCAGAGGCCAAGCAGCTCGGTCCAGATATGCCCATTTATAGCGATGTCAACTTGGCTAATAAGCTGAACGACATAAAGGCATTTAGTAATTCAAGTTTGTGCTTTGCAAGTCCAACCGGGTCTGGCACCTATGAGCCAATCCCCTATGCAACGACCCAGCTCATACAATCGAACATTAAGAATAAACCAACCATGGGGGGCGCTATAGGAGAACCATTGGATATGCCTTGCTGGAAGCCTCCTCACCCTCCTCCTATCCCCAAAGAGATTGCAGCACAGATGCAGTACAACATCATGGCACAGAACATGTTCAATAAAGGTAAGAACAGCATGGAAGAAAACTGACTGTGAACCATTAAACCATGAAAACCATTCCAAAAGCATGATGTATTTGCTGCTCCTCTTACTGCTACTACTATTATTTGTAATAGTGAGGCTAGTACAGGAGCTATTTTCACTCCCTAGAGTCAAAGCTTTGGTGATGACAATGAACCTATTGTTTTTAACATGAAAGGATGATTACGTAAATTAGTATCAAACTTGAATAATTGTATAATTATTTGTTTATGTATGAGCAAAATATTGAGGTCCTATTTACAATGCTGTCTTCGTCTCAGTACTAGTCTGATTAAAAGCCACATGGGCTGGGGTGCCAGAACTTGACTACTGACCCTGTGGCATTTTGGCAAAGTTAGAATTTTTACAGTTAAACCCCAAATCTGTTGTATAACCAGTGGGCCAGCTGAAGAAGGTTGTATAACCACACAATACAATACCATACAATAATAATGATAATAGTGTAACTGGCTGTGAATCAAGAGTGAAGCTCCTATCATCACAGTTTGGGCTGTTGCTTGCACATGCTTTTTTGTTCATAAAATGGCCCAAGAACCTGTGAAATCTGGGTATATACACTTGCATAATCTGTTATGAGAGCTGGGCACTAGATAAATAGATTTATTAGTGCTGATTTTTTTGAAAGTTAGCTGGGATTTAAGACCTACTTGTGGTTAGTTCATTATATAGGGTAATTTTGTGTTTTAACTGCTAACATGACATAACACGGTCCCTGGACATGTCCCTGTCACAGAACAGCACCCAGGAAGTGAACAAATCCACCCCAAAACCATCCCGTACAACCAGAGCTTGGACAACAGCACAGTGGGCTCTCACCACAGCTCTGACAGAGGCAGCAGTGGCACTTCAGGTAAAACACATCCAAACATCAACTCCCAAGGAAACATCTGCTTTGCTCACCGCCCCCTGTTGTTTCTCAGGGAGTCAAAATCAAAAGAAGATGGCACGTGTTCAGAAGATTCCAAAGCACAATGCAGTGAGCTGGGGGGATGCAGTGTCCGCTCCCAACGCATGGGGGGACTGTGATGACTACAGCCTGCCCCTGGAGAACAGGCAAGCCATGAAACACTGCAGTGCAACGGAGACAAACATGGCAACCTTTTATTTATTGTATTTATATTGACTTTGGAGGATAAGCCGTCCTGCTCCACCCAGAGGCTACTCCACCTCTTCTGCTGTGACCTGAAGGGCTGTTGCTGATTTTTACTATTGTTAGCTTTTTTGAATGATCAAAAGTTTTATTTTTGCTACTACTGGACACCTGAATTTCTCCTACGGGGATCAATAAAGTATCTATCTTTCTATCTATCTATCTATCAGTAAATCTAACTATCTAAGTCCCCAGAGTTGAATCATCTCGTTTTCAAGGAAGACCTCCGAATTGCACCAAATGACAGATACAGAAAGACGGACAGTAAAACAGACAGTAAATAATATCATAAATCATATAGAACAAGATAGACACATAAGACAAACGCGCACATGGCACAGAGATGTTGTCAATTCTTGATATATTTTGTATCATAATTTACAGAGATTAAGGGAAGTAGTCTATTATTAATAGTAATACATAGTATGAATGGAGATAATAATACATTTTGCTTCAAAAACCCTGACATGGATTAAGTAAATATTGTACAAGAGATTTCTTAAACAGGCAGTGAAGTATGAGAGCGGATAACGGTCTTGAATCTTTTTAAAACAATGTTCTAAATGTGCTCAAAATATTAAAAGACAAAGCTGAATATAGCAGTATCCTAAAACTAATATGCTTGTCTAATATAAATTCACTCCCCAATACCACATTTGCTTGTACTATAAATATTATGGCTTTGGACTGTACATATGTCATTAATACATTTAGTTTGACATCCAACAAGACCAGTATGCATCCATTACTCACCGAGAAGGGGAGCCATTTGTTTGCTTGACATTTTCTTGTGATTGAAATTCTGTATGTTTTGATTCACAGCTCTGAATTCCATATATTTTCTATGGGTTTGACTGATGTGCTGCTGCTAGCTACATTGATTTGTGAAAAGTTTGACCTTTTCTTTTAGTTATAACCCCGAGGACAGAGCGGAGAGCTGCCCCACTCCTCCGGTCAGGGGCCCAGCCTCGTCCCATTCTGAAGGATCACTACCAATCACCTCTTTGCACAACGGAAATGAACACCAGAGGTAAGTTCTCTACATAAGAATATTATGGAACACAATTATGGTCTTGATAATATTTACATTCACCATATGAGGAAATATAGTCATGTTTTTCCATGATTATGAAATGGAGGGTTTAGTAAGTAGTCAGACTTAGTATGGACTGGATATGTGCAGTATACTAAAATAGCTTTGATTTAAGAGGGTATGAGAATAAACAAAATATATCATGCCCTAAAAAACAAAAACAAAAAAACATTATCTTAGAATTATGCAAACTGCCTCCAAAATGCTTAAACTAGACTATATCATTGTAAAGGTCCAGTATTTCACTAAAAGAAAACCCCACATAGAGATTTGTTTGGTGATAGAGGTGGAATGAAGCTTCCTGGTGGTAGTGGAGGACTCAGAGAGAGCGCTGTGGTATCTGCAAAACTGATCTAGGACTCTTCCTGATGTGGCCAGGACAGTAAAGGCTGATGATGAACTTACAGTAGTATCACACAGTGTCACGAGTAAAGCTTGAAGAACACTGGGTAACAAAAAAATATTTTTTGAAAATAGTCCAGGGTTTTCCAGCTGAATTCAGCTGAGTCCGAAAATGACCTTGGTTTTGCTCAATCAGGTCAGGATTTTTTGATACAGAAATATGTTTTTAAATCGATTTTGCGTAAAAAAACAAATTTCTGCGGATCATCAGCTGAGAAACCCTTGACGTTTTTTCCGTTTTCCTCAAGAAATAAAAGTCAACGTATCCAAAGTCATTCAGTTTTTATTTACTCCATCAAATTTGATAAGCAGAATTCATAATAACGTAGACGTATTTAATCCGTAACACTATGGCTGTATCTCAAAAAGTTGACCTGATAGAGCAAAATGCATGTGATATTCGGACTCAGAACACCAAAATTAGTCTAAATCAGTTGAGAAACCCCTGACCATTTTTTGGCTGTCAACTTGTGTAATTGAAGACTGGTCAGGAGGCGTGGTGATGTTGACTGGAGAGGGGGACTTGAGGCGTGGCCCGGCTCCTAAACTTCATTTAAAGATTAATATCATCAACTCCATGTATCTTACTCACACACAACACTGTATTAACAAAGGAACATCAAACCATCAATTCATCGACTTTTGTTTTTCCTTGATATCATCCTGACTACAGGTGTAAATTATCTTTCTTGCTATAACATGGTACAATGCATCTCTCCGTTTGTTTAATGTTTACACTGTCCCTGTAAAAATAAAAACCATATCATGCCAAATAGCACTTTTTTTGACACCACACATAACATCAAGAGCCTCACTCAGCTGTAATGACTGCAGATGTTTCTTATCAATAAAAACTGAGTTTAATTAACAATAAGGACTAATGAACACTGCCAACTTGATCCACGTGTCATGCATCGTTGCACTATCCTTAACTTATATCAGAATGTGCAATATACTGCTGCTAATGTACAGATGTAAACATACTGCTGCTAATGTACAGATGTAAACATACTGCTGCTAACATGTACAGATGAAAACATACTGCTGCTAATGTACAGATGTAAACATACTGCTGCTAACATGTACAGATGAAAACATACTGCTGCTAACATGTACAGATGTAAACATACTGCTGCTAACATGTACAGGTGAAAACATACTGCTGCTAACATGTACAGATGTAAACATACTGCTGCTAACATGTACAGGTGAAAACATACTGCTGCTAACATGTACAGATGTAAACATACTGCTGCTAACATGTACAGATGTAAACATACTGCTGCTAATGTACAGATGTAAACATACTGCTGCTAACATGTACAGATGAAAACATACTGCTGCTAACATGTACAGGTGTAAACGTCCTGCTGCTAACATGTACAGGTGTAAACATACTGCTGCTAACATGTACAGATGCTAACATATAACTACACTTTGCTTGCACTAGAACACACAGAACTTTATACTTGCCTCTTATTGCCAAATGTTAAACTTTTACACCTTTTTTATTATTATTGTCAAAATAGTGATTTTATACTTGATGCTAGAGTTCCCCCACTGTGGGACGAATAAAGGATCTCTTAATCTTAATATAAAGACACGGCTAGATTGTATTGGAAATTTGAACTCAAACTCTCAGTCAAGTCCATTTAATGGCTTAAACAAGCATTAATTATGAAATCACTAGGACCTACTTTTGACTGACCGAGGAATACAATGACTCTCTTGACCACTTCTCTCTGCCATTTAGCCTGGACACTGATGACCAAGAGGAGGATGATGAGGAGTTAGAAGAGGAGGAAGAGGGACTAGAGCCAACAGAGGTCGTTTACAGCCCACACCACAGCCAGCAGCAGCAGAAGACCCAGAGAGCCCACTCCTCTCCATTGAAACTGCTGCACCCAGGGTTGGAGCAGACCCCAGCGTCCAGCACTGGAGACCTGGAGCACTCAGTGACGGGCTCCATGGTGAACAGCTGGGGATCAGCCTCCGAGGACAACATCTCCTCTGGTCGCTCCAGCATCATCAGCACGTCCGAGGGATCATTCTTCACAGATGGGGATTTCAGCCAGGCGCTGCCCTCCAACCGGGATTTGGTGGGACTACGAATGTGCAGATATACGGATGATGCAGGTGGGAACACAGAGCAAGCAAGAGAACCGTAGTATAGAGCAACACACTAGAATCATCACAAATCCTTATTTTTTTATTGCATGAAGGTCATATTTGATCCTCAGTGTCCTTTAATTACATCAGGTTGTCAAAGATAAAAAGGGCATTGGCTTGACCTGTGTTTCTGTGCTCTTCTAATCAATGAGATTAATAGTTATTTCTACATTACTTAATGCACAAACATTTACATGAGTTTTGCCACTAAAATTATTTTGTTCTTTGCAACACTATCTGCAATATAGCTATAAATTGCTATTATTGATATTATTATGTGGTGGTACTCTAGCTGTTCCTTTGTCCCTTTGACATGTTTGTGGTTGATGCAGGCCGGAGGCAGCCGCGGCCCAGCAGTCCTCTGTCCACCGACAGCAACATGAGTCCTGCAGTTACACATAAGAGGCCTCGCAGACATAAACCCAACCAGCCTGCGTACGGCTGCCATCCCAAAGACGTCTTCAGTGACGGTACATTGGAACTGAACCTTTGCAATAGCATGTGTTTGTTATTAACTCTGTGTGTGCACCGCAGACACATGCATGCCTCTGTCCTTCACCAGCCCAGTGCCCCCTGGTGACTACAGGGCACGAGGGGCCACACTGCCCCGGATGGGTTCTGGAGAGGCACGAGGCCGAAGAGGAAGCGCTGGCACACCGAGGATCCGAGAGCCTGAGCAGAGCGAGGGACACGAAAAGCACAAAAATACAACAGGAGCAAAAGCAAACAGCAAAAACCGACAGCACTCGGGTGACCACCAGCACCATGTCCATCTCATTACCATCCCAGAGAGCAACGGCCTGAACCTCTTTACTTTGTGCTTTTCCAGAATTTGGGGATGTGCCTCTGTACAGTCGCCCCACGTTCCCATCAGGTCAGACACACAGGTCTGAGTCTGACACCAAGAAATCATGCACATTTATAAATGGAGAATCACGGACCAAACAGGGAGGGGAAGTGTTTGGCTCAACTCAGGCTGGAAGGTGGGTCTCTTTGACAAGAGTTATAATGTTTTACCTTACATGTCACACAGATTTAGTTCTACTCATATATTTAATCACATAATTGAACTTTTTCTTGCCTTCCAGTTCCTGAAAAGATGAAAGATAAGAAGAAAACCCAAATCTGTCATTTGCTTCAGATGCAGGCCCCTTATGGCACAGAAAAAGGACTGTAAAGAAACTGCACAAAGCCCTGCTTTTACATGTCATTAGGTGTTGGAATAAAGGATGCTGATCTGTGGACTGAGAGGTGTTCTCTCTTTTGGTGCACATGACTGCAGACTGCGCTGATGCTCTGTGGTTGTGGTCCCACTCATGTTGTCATGACGACTGTGGATGCAGATGTGTGCTCTTTGCTTGTTGGTTGTCTTGTTCTTTTGCTGTAAGTGATATTCAGTCATTACCAGCCATCTTGTAAATTGTTTACTGCCACAAAAGTGCTTCAAAAATCAAATTTTATATACGTGTTAATGTTTTATAAAGTGATGTACATCTTGTCTTCTAATTATTTGTCCTACTTGGGTTATAAAAGCACAATCACCTAATTTTATTCTATGTTGTTATTGTATAAACTTCATTTTGGCGATAAAGTCGTCTTTTGGAGTTATATCATTTTATCTCCTCACATGAGACTGATAAAAATATTGTATGTTTGGTCAAGTACATTTGAGCTGCTTTCATTCAGATTGGAAATATCTATTGTGTGTAATGAGAGAATTGCATGAGGATTCACCTGTAGAGGTTTACTGGATTAGAACTTTGTCCTCCATTTGGGAAGATGAAAAGTCCCGACATGGACTGGTTCCATTTATTCTTTTTCTTTGATGAGGCCATTTCATCTAGCCCAATGTGTTCTTGACCTTGCTGTAACTTGTGGAGTAGGGCTGGACAATAAACCAAAGCCGTCCAGTTACCAGCTATGAATTTTAATACACCACTCACACAACATTGCTTTTCGCCTACAATATTGTACATGAATGATCTGACGTTGTTCAGAGAAAAGCACTCTCAAAGGAGTTCAAATTGGACCTAAACTTATATTTATTTCCTTTTGGTCCTATTGTCCATCCCTATTCTTTTTAAGCTATTTATTAAGCAGATACTATGTCACCTTACCTTCTCTGTTTAAATAAATACTGCTGTTCTTAAAGTTATTTTGTAAAGTGTCTTTTTTCACAAACACATCTTGAACTTTGATAATAATAATAAAAAATCATTAGTTTTATAGAGTTCACTCTGTACATGATGGTGATTAACGACTAATGAAGCCACACTTGTCCTGGGGCAGACCGTTATTATTATAGATCCATGGGGCAGACTGACAGAAGTGAGGCAACCAGTATGTGCCATTGCCCCCCTGACCACCACTGATTATTCATGCACACACCAGACTCATACTAGGCAATGTACATAAGGTGCAGTGGCAAAGCACAGTCACGGTGCCACCTGGTGTTCATGGAGGTCACCGATCAGCTATCCAAACTTATTAGGGTTATGGAAAAATAATTATATTAATACAAAATAGAAATAAGTATGTTGTCCTACATTCAGGGCGAAAACAATTCTGTTTAACTTTACTTTGGATGAGTCAGTGATACACACATTCTTGTCGTTTATGACTAGAAGGTCAAATTAAATTAAGTCATGTGTGGCTTACAGACGTGTGCAAAATTTTGAGGGCTTTCTCCCATTCAAAATATGCACAATTTAACATACTAATCACTCGGCTGACAGTCTTAGTTTGTATCAGTGTGAAACTCATGGTTAAAGCTCTTTCTAATAACATGTAAAAGAGTTCTTTCCGTAAAAGCAACAGAAATATAGTGTAAAGTCACAGAAATATAGTGATTACCCTTTGTACCAGCAGAGAGCATCACATACAATCCACATGTTTGCAGAATGTCCCATATGAAAACATCCAATCAGCCACTCTGAGGACAAGTGTGTATGACGAGCAAAAGAGGAGAAAGGAAAACGTCGAGACACGCTGTTTAATTAACCTCACTTATGAACCTTCATCAACGAAGCAGCTGTGCACCGCGGAAGGGGGGAGCTGTGAAGGCGCCTGCAGATGTCTTCACTGTCTGAGTTGTGTTTTGGATGTCTGAATGTGGGCCAGGTGACTGTCCCCGGGTTCACACAGCAAAACAAATCATTAAAATGCATTGTTTTTCCAAGTCTTTTTCATTTGGGAACTGATTTTTTATTCTTAATCAAAGGTGAACAAAGTCAAGATTGTGTTTTGGTCAAGAAAATGTAGACACTCCTAATATACTACTTTTTGCATCTTTTTAAAAACCTGTGCAGTTTGTCGGGCCTGTATTAGCCACGATACCTCTGATATGGCACAGTTTATAATTGATAAGAATAGCAGTAGTTAAGCTGTCACTATCAGACTCCTCTCTTGTGGCCATGAGCAAAATGTATGAATGGGAGGGTCAAAAATGTCCTGTTGTTTAAGCAAAATCTCAAAAAAACATGATGCTTGTTTCATGCATAACAAATGTGAAATGAATATTTGTTATGTCTGCTTAGTGTTTTCACAATCTCTTCTTCTCTATTTGACAATGCTTCTCAAATCCTGATAAAAATAGTTCTGTTTTGTTTTGCATGCAAATTAAGGATTGTATCTTCCCAGGTTTTAATGTACTGTGATTATTCATTGTTTGAATTTGTTTTGTTTTTGTCTTGTTTTATTCACAAAGCAATTTCTGCAGCTTTGTGTATGAACTGCGCCATACAAACACATTCCCCTTGCCTTGCCAATTGTCAATACTAATACAGTAGCGATACATTTTGAAAAATACACATTATTCAGGCTATGTATGTATATGAACAAATCGATAGAACGATAGAAACAAACCATGTGAGTCTCTATATGCAGCTTTGAACTAGCGGTTGATTGGACGATGCAGTTGTAATCCACTCTGATGCACTTTGTGTGTGGAAAAGTGCTCTGTGGTTGGCCATTCATGCATGTGAATATCAATACTGGCTTGTGAGATATTGGTGAGTTAGATGGATAATCCACTTTGCGCATTGTTCATGTTACAGCAGCAGACACTTCACGTAAGCTTGAAAATAATATAAAAACTCATCGTCAAAATCACAGCGATTTTTAAACCTGTCTTTAGAAAACGCAAGTATGAAAGTGGAGCGTTCAAACCATGACCCCTGGAACGACCCTTTGCATTGGGCGTACAACAAAAGCTTTGCCTGACATATTTATATTTATTTATTTCTTGCAGGGTCCAGATGTGTTCTTTCACAAGTGCGGACATTTCACAGCGTTTTGAGAGAGATTGAGTCATTTCAGAGCTTTGTCGGCGGCCTGGAGGTGAGCCGCATCAGAAAGGTGGACTGCACTTGTGAACAAAGGCTGACCTGGATTTGAGGCGTGCTGCTGTCAACACACAAAGCCCGACTGTCTGCTTCGTCCAATTATCACTTCAGCAATGAGTGACGAGAGCAGCCCACGGAATGATGGCTGAATCATTTTTACTGCTAAAGTCAAGTCCAATCAATAGACCCTCTCAATCATTCCTCGGTAAACTCACAATGCCCCTTTGACAAGCTTTTGATACTGTTATTACGCAATTTAGTGGTTTTTAGCTCCAAATGAGAAGCCAGGTTTCTACCCAGTGTTAAATGTGTATTATGGAATTTTTTTTGATGAAGGTTTCAGAGGCTTGTGCAAGTTGTTAGTGTTTAGTGGGTGTCCAGTCACTGATGTCCAGGCCTTTGTTTCACACGGGTCATTTACCCATTCACCAATGTTCATTTTGTGGAAGAGTGCTATGCAATAAACTGTGATAAACCGCTAGCTAATACAATTTTTAAATAATTGTGGCTAACCAAGGTAACAACAACCTGGTCACGAGAGAGTAGACGAGAGAGTAGCTCTTTCTTCAAATTGCTGGGCCATACCTAACCAATTGGTAAATCTCTGACCAATTATTATATTAGTTAAATATAATAACTTGATATTGATTCATCTAACCAATATTGACTTGGAAGATGGTTGATGGGTACAGTTTTTCAGTTGTACATAGGTCACAATATAAAATTATGCGTACTATGCTAGCAATCTGTGTTTATGACTACAATAATAACAAATAGGCTCTCAAAAGAAGATGATTTTCTAGAAACTCACTGTTCAATCTCGATTATCAAATCAGTATATTGTATGCACTCTTCTGTTTGCTGTTATATATTCCAGTTAATGTGAATAATTCATTGGCTGAATAGTGCCCATTTTGCTCATCCACCTCCACTTTAGAGGCCTGATAATGTTCCATGCTAAATCAATCAGAAAAGGTTTCTCCTGGTGTAAATTTTCTTTCCAAGGAGAGCCATAAGTATCTGCCTTGGATTATTCTCCTATAGTCTTTGCTGCCAAGCCTCATTTTCAATTTTGCAATGTTTATCCGGCAGATTCTCAGCAATCTGTTGACAAAGAGCCGGCCGTGACAGCGAGGGCAGACCAGGCACAAGAGCAGACAGAGGAAGTTACTGTGAAGCCTGTCACACTCAACAACTCTTCAGAAGGGACCGAGTCAATGTTCTGCAAATCAGTCCGTCTCCGGTGGCCGTACAGTGGAACGCCGCCATATGTCGTCGAGGTGTTCCATTTGCTCTCATTAGTGTCGACCAAATGCTGGATCTCTGCATCACTGTACTTCTTTGTATTTGTGAACATAAGGACTGGACCTTCCCCAGGAATTATTGTTAATGTGCTGTCATAGCTGCCATGTTCAATTATTGATCCAACCAAATATACTCCTCTTTTTATACATTATACTAGAATACAAAAGTCCCATTCTCAGTTTTATTTTTTACTTGTAATGTAATAAACCTTTCCGAAGAATTGATAAAAAGGTTTTTTCTGCAACTAAATAATAAAATCCCTCTAAATAGTCCCCATAGCTCTCAAAAATGTTATTTCATGTAATTTTGCCCTCAGACAAATCTTTAGATCTGCTTTTACTGCAACATATACCATATACATTATTCATGCAACATATACCATTATTAATGCAACATATACCATATATATTGTTTTCTAACAATATGAGGACTACAGGTTATGGTATG